GGTTTGTCTGCTTTTGCCTCCCAAGCTTTGGGATTAAAGGTGTGTACCACCATACCCAACTACTCTCTTTCTTTTTTATTTTAAGGACTTTAACCTTTAGCATATATTTTTTTTAACACACTGTAAACCATTTAGAGGTTTTCTTTGACTTTGAATCTTTCTTTTACTGTATCTCTCTTTTTTTCTGACCACATGAATCTTTAATTTGCTAAGCAATATGACTAGAGTTAAAGCCATGGCTTTGATGGCTTTTCAGAAAGCTAAGAACAGCCCATTTCTTAGCTTTCTGCAAATTCAGCCTCATGGCGGAGGTACTGACTGGAGCCATGTTTATTACCACAACTTTATGGCTTTTCAAGGTACTTGCTAGCAAGCATGCTGAAACAGTATGTCCACAAACAACACTCAAATTCTCTCTCTGTAGCCAGACCTCCTGCCTCAAAGAGTTAGAGTTTGCACTGGCAGGATGGCCCAGAAAGTCCGCATTTTAAAATGGCACAGCTTTTTTCCTGCTATCTCTGAAAACCAAAAAGCATGCAGTCAGCTTTTATCAACACCATTTAAGTGTTTCGTGGCAGCACCTCTTAAAAGAGCTGCAAGGCTTTGCAGCTAAAGCTGAGTTGGAAGCCTCTCTTAAATGAGAGCACTTGTTTGCCTCTAGCAAGCAGAGAAGACTCAAGAAATTGCTACTACCAAGCAGCCATGCTTTAATCTATTCTTTTCTGTCTAAATTTACTTCCCAAGCTCTCTCAGGATTTATATGGATGCAGTTGTCCATGTGGGCACCATTCTGTTGACTGAGTTTTCTGTCCTGCATGGTTTCTGTCCTCCCATCATGTCCCACAGCCAGTAAGCCCTTTTTCAGTGTTACAGGTCACATCTTTCTTCTTCCGTGTGGGGACAGGACTGGGGAGAAATGGGCTTCCTCCTTCCCAGAATTCTCCTGTTCTCCTTGACCCACCTCTTCTTCCTATCTGGTTGTCCCACCTATACTTTCTGTCTGACTACTGGCCAATCAGCGTTTATTTAAAACAGAATTGACAGAATATAGACAATTGTCCTGCACCAAGTAACTTCTACTTAGAATGCTTTATTTTTATGTTAAAATACTACTAACATTCTAAATGATTTGAACAGATTGTTTTATCCAAAAATGCTGCTATACAGGTTCAGTTTACAAAGTTGGATTTGTGTTTATGATTATTTTAGTACCAAATACTTTGATTTTGTTATGGAGTACTAACATATCAGAAGTGTACTATTTATGTGTTAGACATTTTATAACACTGAATTACCTCAGGGAACAAAGAAATAAAGAATTATTTAGTCTCATAGTTTCAAATATATCAGTCCACAATTACTTGAGTCCTTCTGCATTATGAAGAGGCAGAAAATCATGGCATAAGGACATAACTCAAAATGATTCTTCTCATAGAAGCCAGACGTGCCTGAGACAACAGGCATTCTCTCTTCCCTCTTTTATTTTATCCACAGCCCCTGCAATAGGATAGTGCCATTTATATTTAGGGCATGTGTTTCCTCTGTGATTAATAATTTCTGTAAATATCTGAGCAGATGCACAACATCAGGGCCAAAGATGTAGCTCAGTATTAGAACATTTACCTAGAATGTGTTTGATGCTCAGCACTATTTTAAAAAATCTATCCATCAGAAAAATCATTAAAAATTAATTCATGCCAAATCATTGTAAAATAAGATATGGCCTGCTATGAAACAATTTAAAGCAGGTCAGTTGGTAAAAGTGGTGAAAAAAATACAAAGTACAAACACACTAACTTTGAAAGAACTTGGCACCAAACCCATATCAATATTGTTATGTTATAAAAATTCAAATATCACATAAATTACAGGATTTCTAAATTGAGTCCTAAATGAGGGTCGGGAAAAAATTTGAAAGTATGTACATCATCTAAGTGTGAAAAATGCTTATTTTGTATATAGACCTTTACTAGTCTAATCCAAAAAGAACTTTCATCTTTTTAATTTTCCTTATTCTCCAATGAGCCTTTTCTTTTGAAATTTTTATAGACATTAACACACTTTGATTTTATTTTTTTTTATGTATTTGTTTTTTTGTTTATAATGTATGTATCAGATAAAAAGGATGGAGTATGTGTTAGAAGTTTTTATAGAGACTTACTCAATGAAGGTTGAACTGGTGAGTGGTGAAAAGCTAAGATTATCTTAAATGCTTTGTGATAGTCAATATGGACAGGGAAACAAAATTATTCTTCCATGGCTTACATATAACAGATTAAAATTATTTGCATATTAGGTGGCATTAGTCAAAATCAGTTACAAGTGAAGACAATAAATAAAAAATAAGTTGTACAAAGTTATCAAATAATTATTAGGATTATCAAGTACACATAACAAGTATATTCATATCCTTTGTCCATGTCGTTCATCTTAAGTCACACTCTTTCATTCAGATAAAGTTTGAAAATCTTAAATGGTTATTTTAACCCTGTACAACTGATGAGTGATAAATGGCACATAAGACCTTGTCTAGTTTCTCTTTACTTATGATCATTAAGGAGTTACTTCACAGGCTAGTTCTTTTTCTGTTGGGATTTTCTTCCTGTATTTTATTCTTCCTGTTCTATAAGGTCTGTTTACATTGGAATTCTACCTCCTGCTTCAGGTTTCCTTACTGAATGCGGCAGTTCTCAGATTTTATGTGCTAATTGCCCAGATGGCTGTGTCACATCAAGGTTTCCTTATGTCCTGCTTAAAGCTCTGAAATTGTTTTCTCTATCTACCTGTGATTTAGATTTATTTCCCTGTGATCTTATAGCTACTTTAAAATGAGTTCGTATTTCTATTAAAGGTTAAATTGATCATTCATTGCCTAGAAACATGACCATCAAGTTATTTCCTGTGTATATCCTTTGGAGACAGCAATTCTAGACTTCATCTTTTAGTCAAAGATTTCCAGTATCATGTAGGTTATTCATTAATTAGAAAAAATCAATTAACTTTGCAGTTGCTTATATCACAGCAGGTTTCTAGTGTTTTTAGTGTCATATGCCAAGAGCTTTCCACAGGATAGATAACATTTTGTTCAAAGAAATAAGAGATTGAAAAACTCAATGTGGCAGGTTTAAAATATGCACTGGATACACTGGCTATTCAGTGTTGACTTTTGTGAACAATTACACTCATAAGTTTCACTCTTATGTGTATTATAGAATGGAGTCACATGAATTTACCATTCATATTCTTTTTAAAGTTGACCTGTTTGCCTAATGTCAAAATTTTGTTCAACTCTTCTGTAGTTTAGTAGATAATCTTCCAGGTAAACTCCAGGAAATATTTGGTGTAGTAACATGTTCTGGAAAGAGATTATCTGTGAATTTATTGTCTTAAGAATGTCTAGAAGAACACAATGAATGCAAATTAGAGAGACTAATTACAATGTTAATAGATTAGTCATTAAACTTAACATTACATATGTAGTAGTCCTGATGGCTCTAGCCCTGCAATGGTTCTCAGAGCTAGCCAGAAAGTCCATTATGAAGATGAGAATAGAATAATGAAACTAAAGGAAGTCTGGAAGCAGTGGCACAGGTCTGTGATTCAGCACTGCTACAGTAAGATGGGAAGTAGAGGAAAGAGAAAATCCCCACAGGGCAACTAGCCTGAAGAATGCAGCACTGTGGGATGTGAGAGAAACTCTGCCTTAAAGAAGATGGGAATGGACCAGTACCTGGGGTTGTCCTCCACCCTCCACATTCACACTGTGGCACATGTAAGCTCTCATACACTAATATGCATTTCACATTGCGCGCGCGCGCGCACACACACACACACACACACACACACACACCATTAAAAGAAGAATAAAAGGCTTCTCTGGCCTTATCAGCTTCCCCCTACTACATAAATGTGAAACATCTTCTGTAGACATAACTACTACCTCTCCATGAACTCTGAAATTTGCATTCATTATATCCCTAATTTATCTTTGAGCTGACTTTTATTTCAATAAATAAACTGTGGAGCTCAGTGCAAAGATACTAATTTTGTAACTGAACAGGAATGCTTTGCACCACAGTTTTGCCACATAATACCAGCTGTTGGATTTCGGCAATAATAAAGCAGTTTCAGTCTTATGCATGCATCTATACAGACAAAATTAAGCATTTATAGGACAGAGGTTTGTATTGTATTTTGTATATAATATCTAAAGTACTTAGAGTTATTTCCATCTTAATAGACAGTTTTAAATTACCTTGTCAAATGCTTCCATTTTCAAAGTAGATACCTGATCATAGTTTTATAAGTATTAATTAACAGAACATTCCTTTCTCATTTTGAGTTTGTGTGCATTGTGTTTAAGAAAAATATCTTCAAATAAAGTTCAATTTTCTGCTACTAAAAAAGATCTTAGTTTCTTCAATGTAAAACAGAAATATATACTTATTTGCATTGCTGTATTCAGAATGACAGATAGTGCAGTTGATCTCTTAGAAATAGTGATAAGAATGGTGGGTACCAGAAGAGGAGGCTTTGTAAGAAGGAAGGGTGCTGGGGAAGACGGGGAAGGTTGATTAATGGTCACTATATGTCAGATATGAGAAGGAAGCTCTGAAATACTGTCACACAGTGTGATGACCATAAAGGACAATAATGTACCGCTGTGATTAATGCTGGAAGAAAAGATTTTATAAGCCTTTATAATTTAGAAATGATAAACTGGATTTAAAGATTTTTCAGTGTACATATGTATCAAAAATCACATTATTTCCATTATAATCTACAACTTTTATACTTTTGTACATTGATCAAAAATTTAAAACTAGACACAGTAAATTTATACTTATAACAGACAATAGTGATTGTCATCATTATTTTTAATGATACATTATTTCCTATCACATATATAAATATAAATTATGTAGTGTGATGTGTGTAAGAAAAATGTATTGATCAAATGAAAAATTTAGATATTTTAATTGTAATTTTCTTTCTTTCAGAATTACTTACTGTCATCTACCTTTCCAGAGTAAATGGCTCTATGTTGGAACAGAAAGAGGAAATACACATATTGTAAATATTGAATCTTTCATTCTTTCTGGATATGTCATCATGTGGAACAAAGCAATTGAACTGTAAGTTTGACCTTGGTTGTCATTTTATTTGACTAAAATATTGCATATATTATGTGACCTGTTTGGATTATAATGCAATTACCTTAAATAAAATTGAACTAAAATAAAACCACAGGAAATTTAAAAATAGATATGGATGTATCAATGTATTTTATACATTACAAATACTGTAAATAATAAAAGCTTACATATATCAGCCATAGTAATAAAATAGAATAGCACTATAAAATGATATTGTAATTAACATTAGCATAATCATAGTGAAAATGGATTGTTTTATATGAAAATAATAATCAATAGACATAATAATTAATGGTAATAGTTTATCTGTTGCCTTGTTAGAATATAGTTCTGAGAACAAAGAGAAGCAGTTACTCAATCTCCTTCATGTTTTGACAAACAACATGAACTTTTTTGTTTTATTTCATTATTTTATGTGTATGGATGTTTTGCCTGCATGTCGGGTCAATGAACAATATGCATGCAGGGCCTGTGGAGGCCAGAAGAGGGCACCAGATCGCCCGGAACTGGAGTTGCAGGTGGTTGTGAGCTGTCATGTGGATAGGGTCCTTTGGAAGAGCAGGCAGGGCTCTTAACTTCTGAACCATCTCTCCACAACTACTGTTTTAGCTTTGGCTTTGGCAGTGGTATTTAAACTACTGCACATGTAAAATGGGAAACATTTCAAATCTACAATCTTATACACTTCAAGTATCTATTTGTGTAGTGCACACATAAACATATTTTTTTCTATTTTTTTAAAGCTTTTTAATTTTTTTCTCTCTTTTTATTTATTTATTAAAAATTTCCACCTCCTCCCCGCCTCCCTTTTCCCTCCCCCTCGCCACCTCCCCCTCCCTCTCTAGTCCTAAGAGCAGTCAGGGTTCCCTGCCCCATGGGAAGTCCAAGGTCCTCCGCCCTCCATCCAGGTCTATAATGGTGAGCATCCAAACAAACCAGGCTCCCACAAAGTCAGTCCATGCAGTAGAATCAAAACCCAGTGCCTTTGTCCTTGACTTCTCAGTCAGCCTTCATTGCCAGCCACATTCAGAGTGTCCAGTTTGATCACATGCTCCATCACTCCCAGTCCAGCTGGCCTTGGTGAGCTCCCATTAGATCAGTCCCACTGTCTCAGTGGGTGGACGCGCCGCTTGTGGTCCTGACTTCCTTGCTCATGTTCTCCCTCCTTCTGCTCCTCATTTGGACCTTGGGAGCTAAGTCCAGTGCTACAGTGTGGGTCTCTGTCTCTATTTCCATCCATTGCCAGATGAAGGTTCTATGGTGATATGTAAGATATTCATCAGTGTGGCTATGGGACAAGGCCAGTTCAGGCTCCCTCTCCTCTGCTGCCCAAGGAACAATCTGGGGACCTCTCCTTGGACCTGGGAACCCCTCTAGAATCAAGTCTCTTGCAAACCCTAAAATGGCTTCCTTAATTAAGATATTTACTTCCCTGCTCCCCTATCTACCCTTCCTCCATCCCACCCATTCCATTCCCCCAAGCTTTCCCGAATCCTCCCCTTCTCCCTTCTCTCTACCCACCTCTCCTTACATCTACCCTGCCACACTACCATTCACCCAAGTTTTGCCTGGCAATTAAAACAATCTTTTTTTTTTTAATTTTACATGCCAGTCCCAGTTCCTTCCTCCCCTCCTCCTGTTCCCCCACCTTTACCCCACCCCATTCCACCCCCATCCACTTCTCAGAGAGGGTGAGGTCTCCCACTGCGAGTCAACAGAGTCTGTCATATCACACTAAGGAAGGACCAAGCTCCCCACAACCTCCCCTCCACCCAGTATCTAGGCTGAGCAAGGTATCCCTCCATAGCGAATGGGCTCCAGAAACCAATTCATGCACTAGGGATAAATATTGGCCCCACTGACAGTGGCCCCAGATACGTCCCGTCCCCCTGTACCCCCGCCCCCCGTCATGGTCAGTGAGCTCTGGCTAGCTGTCAACTGTCTCTGTGGGTATCCAACTGGACTCCAGGAGCTCGGCCCAGTGCTTAGCTGTGGATCTCTACATCTGCTTCCATCATTTACGAGATGAAGGTTCTATGATGACAGTTAAGGTAGTCATCGATCTGATCACAGGGGAAGGGTAGTTCAGGCACCCTCTCCACTATTGCTTAGGGTCTTAGCTGGGGTCATCCTGTGGATACTAGGGAATTCCCCAAGTGCCAGGTTTCTCCCTAACCCCACAATGGCTCCCTCTATCAAGATATCCTTTTCCTTGCTCCCCCTCTCTGTCCTTCCCCCAACTCAGCCATCCAGATTCCTCAAGTTCTCCTTCCTCTTCCTTTTGTTCCCTCCCCCTCCCCTTCCATACCCCCCATGCCCCATGCTGCCAATTGACTCAGGAGATCTTGTCTATTTCCCCTCTCCAGGGAGATCTATGTATTATCCTTTTTAGTCTATGTTTTAGTAAGAAAACCGTTTTATTTGTTGCTAGTTTTATACATGTTGAGTCCTTAGGAAGATGTGTTGATTGATGCTGACTCATTTTCCTACGCATTCTGTTTTTCTCTGAAGTTTTAATTAAAACACTATTTTAATGAATCTTAAATCTGTTTTGGTAACAAGTTTTTTCTCTAATCTCAATGATTTTAATTATACTAGTATTTCCAAAGTGCATTCCATAGAATTTAATTCTATGATTAATATAAATTTAAATATCAACTCCCAGTCTCCTGAATTGTCTTTTAATCACTCTCTACTCCTTAAGATACATCAGAAATATCTATCTCAGAACTTTTTTTGAGTTATGTTTTGCTAGTGGTACTTTCTGAGGTTTTAGAAATTAATCTTAGAGAAACAGACAAAAAATAAGCCAACATGTTATCATTATCTTTAAGTGAGAAAAAAGCAGCATAAAATATTTCCCCTTAACTTTTGATATACTATAAAAGCAATTACTTTTATACTCTAAAGTTTCATTACAAATAGCAAATTTAATGTTGAATAATCTTCTGAACCGAACCACTTTTATTGTATAGTAAGGCTTTAAGTGAAAGAGTCTAGCATATGGTCTAACCTGTATTTCAAAAATATATTCCTCTAACATGATTTTATGATTAAAAATGGACACATCAATAGTTTTGGAAACAATTGAATATATGGTTGCATTTGAATGTAGACTTACTATGCATTTTATAGACAAAATATTTTACATTGTTTAGTTTAGAGTTTCCAAACTTTTTGATTATAGATTTTCCTTTCTATGAAACATCTTGTTTCCACTGGTTTATCATGCAGTACATTTTAACAATTGTTGTTCCAACCAAATCCAATAGACAGATGGCAGTTTTTGTTTATTGACTTACTATTTATTAGAGAATAATTAAGAACACTATTCTTTATAAGGAGCATTTACCTTTCTAGAACACTACAATAATATTTAAGTATATATTACTTATATAGAACTAAAAACTCTATAAACTGTTCTTTGTAGCTTTGTTTAATTCCTTTGAGAATATATTATTGAATATAAATAGTAATTCTGATTTTTAAGTAGAACAATTATCTCAAACTATTGAATATGATCTATCTTTTGCCATTAAATTTGGATAAAAATATATATAATCTGAAAAATATTTTTTTGATAAGGTCAGTGGTACTATATCCAGTTTTAGATGAGAAAATACATTGTCAATTGGGTGAATGAATTCATTCACAAAATTTCTCAGTATCTAATCTATATAGTCCTTTGATTCACTTTGAGAAATCACTATAAGAGAAGCCTAGAATGACTGACCACTTTACAATAGTTTCTAGGATTTAAATAGTCTTTACTTTCTGTGAAGGCTCTTTGTGGATGTTATGTGTCCTTAAGAGGTAAAGTTGAACTGTGCCAATTTCACTTAGCCCTACAACACTGAAGTGTATTCGGCTTAATTTTAATTTCTTTGTCATTCTCTAGTGCCTAGTTTTAAATTATTGCTATTAATTTAACAGATCCACCAAGACTCATCCAGGCCCAGTTGTTCATTTAAGTGATAGCCCAAGAGATGAAGGGAAAGTAAGTACACTGCGTCATTCTTGCTTTGGTTTTCCTTGTTTTTAGAAAAAGATGTTTTAAACTGTTTCTTGAGATTTAACATCTTAATTGGTTTGTAGCATTCAGTGGCATCTAAAAATAATACCTAAAGTATGAATGAGCAAGTAAACAAATAAATGGAATACACTTGCTACTAATGCTTTAAGTGTTTAGTTTGCCTAAAACTAAATTTGAATCTTAAATATGCTTTGTTGAGAAGGTTACAGAGCAGCTTTTATTTCTAAATACCATATGATTTACCTCAGTAGTATGATTAACTTTGTCATTAATCGTGTATTTGTTATTTGGCTTTGATATCAACAAAGTCATAACTAATATCCAGTAATACAAATTAGATAGTTTTGATTTTCTTTTAAGTATACATTAATATAGAAAATATTTGCCATTTCATTGGGATAAGGTCCAAGGGATTAGGGAAACTCTCCTTTGAGTGTTTCTGTGCTGGAGTTTCTAGGGATGGTTAGAAAATAAGGCCTCTGACTTGCTCAGTGGGACAGTCCCTGGTGGCTTCATAATAGGATAGCATTATTAGGGGTGGGAAAAGTAGGAAATGGAGTCTAGTTGGAGGAGTAGCTCACAAGGGATTTCTTGGGTCTATTTCTCCCCTGGCCTCTTCCCAGATGCAATTTCTTTGCGTTGTGGCCTTCCCTGACATGAAAAGCTCAGTTCTTCCTCATCCTCAAGATTAATAAGGACTAATTGTTTGAAACTATAAATCATAATAAATCTTTTCTCCCTTTAGTTGATCTCCTAGATATTTTGGTCACAGCTATGCATATGTAGCTAACACATTATTGATTATAAAAAATCCTAATTATTTCATAATTTTCCTTTGATAATGAAATAGTTGGTAGCTTGATTTCTAAAACATTGTCTTTATAGATATTTTGTCAAGTATATAATTCTTAATAGGTACCATAAAATTATGATATTTTTTACTGTAGGTTTACATTTTTGTGAATTATTTATTTTAAAGAATAAGAATTGTGTAGTCTAACAAAGATTCAACATAGAAGGCAAGTTCAACTGATGACCCAATATTAGGTACATCTAAATTGATCTATAAATAGAATGCAATGCTATTTATCAGAGTTTATTTTTTGTTGACGAAAGCTTGTTAAGCTTCAACATATAAAAAGAAGTACAGGCAACTAAGAAAAGCTGAGAGTGGGAGAAACAGTCTTTCCCAGGCAATAGCGTACCAGCTGGTTGTTCAATACCTAGTGGTCAGTCCTTAACAAACACATAAGTGACGCTACACAGACTGAAAGGGTTGATCATAATGTGCAAAACTGTACATAAATAACAAGGAATATAGATACACACACACACACACACACAAACACCCATATGCATGTAACAACCGTTAATGAAAACTGGGGTCATTAATTCAAAATAGAGGAAAAGAGTACATAGGAGAGGGTTTGGAGGGAGAAAAGGGAAGGAGGAAGTGATGTAATTATATATATATATGTATATATATATATATATATACATATATATATATAACCTCTAAAACAAATTTCAAAATAAATTGTCCTAGATACTTAAAAAGCAAATGAGACAAGCTTTTTCTGAACTAAATAAAGTTCTATTTCATGTGCAAATATAGTTTCTACGGGGATATAGAAGAAGCACCCTCATTGGCAGTCAGGGAAATGTGGTTACAATTTTCTCATCAGTCTGGCAAGTATTAGAAATAACCATACTAGATAATGGAAAAGGCCATGCAGCTATGCAGACATAACTAACACAGCATATATTATATAACTATCCCAATTATTTGATAATTTGGATTAGACATGCAAATATATAGGCACAGAAAGCAGTGTTATTAAATAAGACACATGCTTTAAATAATTTGACTTACACATCAGAAAAAAATAATGACATCTTGAAATTTGCAGGCAAATGGATGGATCTAGAAAACATCATATTGAGTGAGGTAACCCAGACCCAGAAAGACAAATATCATATGTACTCACTCTTAAGTGACTTTTAGAAAGACATATAAGGGTCTAATCTACATGGGAAGTAGAAAAAGACAAGATCTCCTGAGTGAATTGGGAGCATGGGGACCATGGGAGAGAGTTGAAGTGGGGAGGGGAAAGGCAGGGAGGGGAGCAGAGATAATGTATAGCTCAATAAAATCATTAAAAAATATAGTAAAAATAATAATTTGACCTAGATAATCTTCAGATATCTACACTATTTATGTGAATAAGGAATAATATGTCTATTAACTGAAAGCTAAATAAATGAATGTTGATACACAGATAATGGATAATTCACTAAGGCACACATTAAAAAGAAAATTCCAGAACAGTGAGGCATTAAACTATGTGAATAATGCATCTGTATTTGTATGTGTATACTACATACTTTAAAATATTTCTCATAAAAAATTATACATACTTTATATTAACTTAATTATATATACTGATTTAGAGTTATTGCTGTTAGGAGTTAACTTTTTTTGCATTTAGTTTGTGTGTGAGTGGGACATGCATCTGCCATGGGTGTGTGTGGAAGTCAGAGGACAGCTTGTGGGGTTGATCTTCTTCTCTCATATAAATTCTGGAAACTGAACTCAGGTTACCAAACTTGGCTGCAGGTGCCTTTACCTGCTGAGCAGGTATTGCTGGCCTCTGACTTATTTTTTATTAAATAATTTTGATAATAGCTGATTATTGTTAGTATTTAAAATACTGTTTTATTAAATGGCAGCATCATTGAATGTTTTGTTTTTAGTATTTGTTCTTAGATTCTCTGGTGTAAATTATTCATGAAAGTCTAACAAATATAGATAACTTTTGCTTCTTCTTTTTCTACATAGAGAGTTATATGTATCTTATGGTTTGTTGGCCAGGGCATTATTGAATATAAATGATTTATTCCTGGGTTTAGAGTTTTAGCTAAGAAGTTGCGGCCCTACATTCTGGCGCCATCCACTCACCCCTCACTTCACAAAAAGAACAAAAATATTCTCAGCTATTTCTAGTAGAAAGTTTTAAATTGTAAATGACATTGAATTTTGTTGAATGTGTTTCTACAAGTATCAGGTTAAGTATTCTTTACTTTTTAATTTGTTGAAATATATTGGTATATTTTCTTATTTAAACATTTTTTTTCAAATTTCTGAGATAAATTCAATGTGGAAAGGAAAGTTCTTCTTGGAGGCTTGATGGTGATGTAAGAAAAGAAATGAAGTAGTGATGTTAGGGTTCTTATGGAAGCAAGATAGTATCAGGCAAAAATAGAATATCTGTGTTCCAAGACACTGTTTCTAAGGAATCTGAACATCATTCTATCAAACAGAAAAGGGCACTGGTGTACTTAAAATTTTCTGTACAGGAAACAATCATGAGTACATTTTTTTGGATTTTCTAGCGTTGTCTCCTAACACTTAGTTAGGGCTATAGTTGGGAACCACTGCTGTCACATCTCTATGGGTCACTTTTCTTGTCTTGTGTAGCTTGACTTGACTTCTGCATTTATCTTCTTATGACTACCTTTCCTGTGTCTTTGTGTCTTTTCCTTATCTAGAAGGTTACCAGCCACTGTGTTTATGGCTGGGTCCACTCTAAGTCCAGGGTGATTTTGTCACAAAATTCTAATGAATTGTACATTTAAAAGACCTTATTTCAAAAATAAGGCTACATATTGAAGTTTTGAATATGACTTTATTTTAAAATCATGCTTTTCAACTATCACACCTATGACAGGGAAACATAAAGATAAACCTGAGAAAATTGTAACTCTTTGAAACAGCCTCCACTTTCATGAACCCATTTGACCAGCAAAATTATCACTTTCACTGTTGCTTAGAGAAAATAATTTTTCTGCTTTAGGAGATTGATAATTATATTCACATAGATACATGGAGTCATGAACTCAGGTCTAAAAACAGAATCACACCTCAGATATCATTACAATCTAACATCGATACATAAGTCTTTCTCTTTAAGGAAACAGAATATTCATAAAGTAGGTAGAATATATATTTACAAAAGAAACTGAGGACCTAATGTTGTCAGTCACCAAAGGAATACATTTAGCAATGATTTTTAAGGGTTTGAACCTGGAGGCTGTATAGAAATCAATGTGTTACATAGGGCATGTTTTGGAGTTTAATCCTTTGACAAGGACACATGCCCTAATAGTTTGCAGGGCTAATCCTTTGAAGCCTTGACTCAACAGAGACATATGGTAACTAGAAATACCAACCATACCTTCTATGCAGTATTAAAGAAGGGATCAGATCAGAAGAAGCAAAAATGGAGAGTATTAACGAAGTCACCTCCTCCGTGCCACCTAAGAGCCTTCTAAGGGTACTGTTTCTACTTAGGAAGGCAGGAATACTCTGGAAAAGCAGGTAACACAACACAGTTAGAACAGTAGGTAGTGGCTATCTTTTTTAAAGGTCTTTGTTGACAGCAGGAAATGATGGCAAAGAGCCAGTCTCATAATATCTGTGGGGATTGATTATCTAGTTGTTAGAGGCCAGGTGGCAATATTTAACCATCTGGCAGTATGGGTATAAATTGCTGTAAAAAAAAAAAAAAAGCAGCTAGGCTATAAGGGCAATACATGAATCCATGATGTTAACTAATGAAACAAAAGCAGAAAAACAATAAATGAAGCCAGGTCGTTGGCTTATGCCTATCTTCCTAGCTCTTTGGGAGGCCGGATCAATCGGATCATCAATTCCAGGTCTGCATAACAAGGTTACACCTCAGTAGAATAAACAAACAAAATCTGAAGGCGAAGTCACAAAAGATCACAACCAATTCTTCTTTATCCTTGGGATATAATTTAACTTTTTTAAAATCAATATCTTTGTATATTAGCAGAAAAAGAATAACACAAAGAAAGCTGATACAAAAGCGGCTTTAGTAAAATTCCCTTAATGATGAAAATGATCTTTTCTCACTCTAAGGGAAAAAAGAAACTCCATGGACCCGAAACTGTGAAGCTTACATAAACCTGTGAATATATCCTCCTTAGTGCTGAGTTTGTTTTTCCCTTTGGGCAGAAGTAAGACAAAGATTCCTACCATTTAACATTGTTTTGTTATTGGCAATACTGGTAACTTTTCATATGTCTTTTTAAAAGTATAAATTTCAATTAATATTTATGTGTATTTCATTATGTGGTATTTAAAGATGTTTTCATTAATACTTTAAGAATTTCATATCTTATATTTTGTTCATACCCATCCACAACTCTTTTCATATTCAATCCCATCTCCCTACCCATACAACTTCTTGCTTTCTCTGATTTTAAGTCCATCTAATCTGCAGTCTCTTATTTTCTGCACATTGGCCTTGGCCAGTAGCAGCACTGTTTTAGTTTTCATTTACTGCACAAAACTTTTCTAAGGAGGGACGAGAGACACATTAATCTATGTGTATAGCAGTAAGTCTTTAGGGATTGGTTTTACACAATATCCATTTAACAAAATAATAATGATAGGTTCTCCCCTAGGGCTATAACTTGTACAGCCAACAGCTCTTGGCCATAGTAACCCTGCCATCTACGAATTACATCTCACAGAGTATCTTTCTGGGTCTGGGTTATCTCACCTAGGATAGGTTTTTTTTCCCCCTAGTTCTACCCATTTATCCTAACGTTATATAATTTTATTTTCCTTTATAGCTGAATAATCTAGCATTGTATTAGTGTGTCACATTTCATTATGCATTTCTTCAGTTGATGGGCATCTAAGCTGTTTCCATTTCTCGGTTATTGTGAGAGCAGCAATGAACATGGATAAACAAGTATCTCTGTAGTAAGATATACAGTCCTTTGCATATGTCCATGGGTGGTATGATCACAGGGTAGACTACCTCTATCTTTCTGAAGAACCACCGTAGTGTCTGCACCATCAGTGAGTCAGTTTCCCCTTTCTCCATCACCCATCAACATTTGCTGTCATTTGCAGGTGTTATTCATTAATTTATTTTATCCTAGCCCTTCTGATTGGGTTAAGATGAAATCTGAAAATAGTTTTCATTTGTATCTTCACGATAGCTAAGGATATTGAACATTATTAAAATTTTTTTCTTTTAATTTTGAGATTAGTATAATTACGTCATTTCCCCTTTCTTTTCTTCCCTCTAAACTCTCAATTTAAATTTTTTAAAAATAATTTCCTTTAAGTTGGCATATCAGAAAGTTCAACACTTTTGTCAAATAAATTTAAACATTATGATGTGTAGTTCCTTAACTTCACATTTGGATATAAGGTATAGCTACATTAAAAATAAGTCTAGGGGCTGGCAAAATGGGTCAGTGTTTGAGAGTACTTGTTACTCTTGAAGATGATCTCAGTTCAGGTCTTGGCAGCTCTCAACTGACTGTAATTCCAGGGTCAGGGACTCTGATGCTCAATTCTGGTCTCAACAGGAACCAGACATGCATGTGGTCTACATACTATGCAGGCAAAATATCATATACATAAAAACATGAATAGGATAAGTAAAAATATATTTCTTTGATAATGTTTCAATTTTAACTGTTTCAAATTCTTCTATTTTAAAAGGAAAACTATTACTTTTCAAATACTTTACACTGATTTAAGTATAAGCACCATTGTATTGGTAGTTACTTTTCTTATTGCTGAAACAGAACATCTGACCAAAGCAAGTTATGGAATTAGGTGGTTCTTGTTTGTGGTTGAAGGAAAGTCTGTTATGGTGGGGAAGGCACACAGACAGAAGCATGATGCTGCAGATCACATTATCTCCACAGTCAGAAGGAAAGAGTGATGCACGCTTATGCTCAGCAAGTTTTCTCCTGGTTAGATGATCCAGAGACCTCCACCATGGAATGTTGCGGCCTACTTTTAGAACAGATCTACTCACCTCCACTAATCTAATTTAGAAAGTCCCCAACAGACATTTGTCTCCAGGGTGATTGATTTTAGACCCTGTAAAATTTATACTGTAGGCTACAATTAGCTAATATTAATTTAATAGAGAATTTTTAAAAAGTTTTAACTTCCAAAGGTGTATAAGCCATTAGTTTAAGCTATGTACTCAAGGCTTTGGATGTATTTCAGTCTCAGAGATTCTGCCTAACATGTACAAGGTCCTACATTTGATTCCCAGAATGAGGGGCTGCACAGCATCTTCAAGTGGGAATATCATAAAACATTTGCTCAAAGTAAATGAGTTGATATGACAAAATTTAAAATTATTTTTATGTACTTTTTCAGGTGTGTAGTACTAAATGGTATATTAGTAGCCAATTAAATATAACATTTCATCAATTATTTTGTTTTCATTTTCTCTTATTTATCTTTCAATTTTCACATAAAATATATTATATCATGTTTATTTACATGTTTCCTTGGTTCTTTGGAACAAGCAGAGTTCTCTGGTTATGTTTATATTGCAGCAAAAGTTATTGACCCTTTAATTTGTTAATTGCTGTATCAGCATCTTTGTCTTAAAAAACAATTTTAAAGTAGTAGGAAGCATATTTAAGTGCTCGAAAAGGTAGGACAAATCAGGCTGTGTTGTGTAACATGCTTTTTATTTATAGGATTATTATAACTTTTTATTTGAGCACCATTAAAATTAATATCAGAATTAAGAAAATGGTTGTTTTACTGTTTTCCAGCTTTTAATAGGTTATGAAAATGGTACTGTAGTATTCTGGGACTTGAAATCTAAAAGAGCAGAACTGAGAGTTTATTATGATGAGGTAAGTGATTTCTGCTGACATATTTGGAAATTTTGGGGACTATGTGTCAGTTTTCTGCTCGGAAGTTTTGTGCTTTACTAATATTTTTGATCACTGGGACCCTACCCGTCCTTACTCAGTGTTAAATATTCTTTTGTTACTTGTATAAATTCCAACTGTTGATTATTTTTGAATGAGAATTCTGCCTTGACAGCCAACTGGGAAGATTATACCTATTTTTGGCTTTGTATCTATTCTTTCCTTTATGACGCTTTCTTGATTTGTCTCATTTCCTTTCTTTTATGTAGGTTCCATACTCACATCTTGCTTCTTGACTTTCAAGTTTCTAAAGGCGCTAGTCAAGACTTCCTAAACAATTCATTTTCTTTGTGGCTAAGAGTTCAAGACAGTTTGAAAAGCCTTTCCCCTTTATTATTTATCTTCTTAGAATAATGAAATTGTTTTGTGTATAAGAACAAATAAATGACACTAAGTATCTTGAGGTAAATTTTATTATATATAATTGATTCTTGATTAGGTTTCTCCCAGATGACATATTAGTTGGACTCTTAATTCCAGACCTTTATTCCCATTTAGAGGAAACTAATATAAAGACAGTACAGCTGAGAGAAGATAAAAAGGGAACTCATTTCTTGAGGCTGGGTAGCAAAGATGATTTTCTACGCCCTTAGATTAGAAGTCAAGTAGGAGTGAGACAAGACAGAAGGAAAATGAAGATCCAAAATCTCTGCCTAGCCAACACCCAATCTTATATGGATAGATGTCACATAATTTAAGGAAGCATGGAAGTAAATAGAAAAGAGTCCCATCTATTTCTTTTTATAACACTTCATTTTTAGATTAGAAGAATAAAAATATCACCCAATGGACTTCTAGTTGCCTTAGAATACGCAACATTTTCTTTCCTATTATATTATAACAATTAAAAGTTTAAAGTTTTGGTCCCTAAAGATATATTTATTGGGCTAGAGAAATGTCTTAATGGTTAAGAGCATATACTGCTCTTGCACAGGATATTGGTGTTTCCAACATCCACATCTGGTAGCTCACAACTATATGTAACTCCAGCTCTATGGATCTGATTCCCTCTTCTGCTCTCCTCAGGCACTATACTCATATGCACATACTCACATATGTATGTAAACACATTACTAAAAATCAAAATAAAGTCTTGATAGCAATTGTTATTTCATAAAATTCACAGTTCATTTCTGAATGGTTCTCTAAAACTAATACTTTATCATATATATGGGATAGTTTTGTTGCCAAAGAGTCCAGAAGTTAATTGTGTAGTGTCTGAGCAATTTGATAATGATTGGTGAAAAACAACCATGCAAGTAATATCACACAATTAATTATGTTCTTCATATTCATGTTTAGTACATCGGAATCATAAGCAAAAATGACTCCACAGAGCTGAGCTGGCTTTTTGCTGTTGTTAAATACACAAAACACAGTGATACGTTATAAATACTTCTTCCTTTTTTAAGACTAAGAGCTAGAGAAAAATCCAAACACTGTTTAACCTGTCAGAGTCAGAAAAGATCAGATCAATAGGAAACCAAAAGGAAAATGCTGAAAATTATGCTTTTCTTTAGCCTAAACTGTATGAAAATAAGTTTTTCAACCTCAAGAAATAAGCATATTAATTCTGAAACTGAACTTTGAAATAAAGATTAGAAATATTCTGAATTAGCTCTTGTAGACCAGACAGGCCTCAAACTCACAGAGATCCACCTGCCTTTGCCTCCCTAGTGCTGGGATTAAAGGCGTGTGCCACCACTGCCTGGCCAGGACAGGCTCTAAAGCTACAGAGAAACCCTGTCTTGAAAAACCAAAATATATATATATATATATATATATATATATATATATATATATATTTAATAGAATATGATTGTCTATATAATTTATACATAGAGATTATTTTATGTATTGACATAAATTATATACACACATAAATAAATTGTTATGTATTATACTACACATTTGTAGTTCCTGTCATTCTAATAGAGACAGTTATAAACTTTATATTGCTGAAAAACTTTTCAAACTTTCTTAGTATTTTGTCATAACTAAAAACTATCCTTAATAAACCCCTAAGATGGTTTTATAAATCATATATACTCTTCCCAGCACTGTACATAGTGGTCTCTGCTGTAATTTTTCAAAGTTCGTTCTTAAAATTATTTCTTTTTTTTGTTTGTTTGTACTTGTCTTGTTTATTTGCCTCTTTTCTCCATCTCTGATTCATTTAAATTATAGATTCTCAAGTCTGGAACACTGGCACATACTAGGCATTTGAGAGACTAAGGCAGGAAGACAAGTTGTGCCACTAGTGTGAGGCTGGCTGAATGATGTAGTGAGCCCCTCCCACTTAAAACTATGTCTGTCTTTTGTTGCCTCCTCTAACTTATGTTTATTTGTACAGACTCTCATTTCTAATACTATCTGTGTAAGCAATAAGCTTAATACAACTAAAAATCCCTGGCCTTTTCCCTCTCTTAAACTTTAAATTTAAATGTCTAACAATTTAATAGGTAAGTCAAAATAAATATCACCAGAATGTAATTTATATTTGATTACACATACCACTTTCTATGTTCTTTTTTCTTTTAAAACCAGTTTAGAATGTCAATGGTAATCCTTTCTATTTCTCTCTTCTTCATATATCATAAACAATCAGTTTTATAGGCTTTTTGATTTTGTCTTTATTATTATTCACATTCTCTCATTTTCTCTTTGTCATTTCTACACCCAGTACTCTACATAAAATTGCTTGACTGGCTATGAGTCTCTTAACATCTACCTTTCTGTATATTCTTCATTAATAGATTACCTTTCAAAGACATAATCAGATCATGTGATTCTCTACATCAGGACATTTGAATGACTCCCTGTTAACAGGATCTGAAAATGAGAATTAAAGCTGTGATAATTTTTTAAAGTATAATTTACTGCATCTTATTAAACAGTTCACACATCTGGGACATGTTACTCACTTTCTCTTAATGATATATTTTTTTCTTACCTTCAAGAAATTTCTACTGGTAATTGCTTTCTCAATATGAACGTTCTCTTTGTCTCTTTTGTATTTTAAAATCATATTAGTCTGTAGGCACCAAAAAGCTAATTGAACTGTCTAACTGTCCCTTGATGATTAGTAATAGACGAATTGGATTTTGTTGGAAATCCAGTATTATATTGAGAAATAATTAGCTGCAAAAAATTGTTTTCAGCTATGTGTTATAGGTTATGCCTCTACTCCCAGCTGCATGGGAAAGGCAGTTCAAACAAAATAGCACTTCTGTCAACTTTGCTGAACCGCAGTCAATTTAACTTCTCTGAAGCTACTTGGTTAGCAAAAGTAGAGAGCGAGAAAATGTATAGACCCACAGCCTGATCCTAACCCAGTGAAGGAGTTCCTCAAGTTCAGAGCCAACTAGAGATACACAGTAAGTTTCAGGCCAGCCTAGAATGCAGAGTGGAATTTTTCTAAATAATAAAAGGCAAGAATTTATTTTACAATAGTTATAGTTTTGTTGTTCATTATATTGGTATTTCTTCAATAAGCTCAAAGAAACCTTTCAATTTGACATAAGGGTAATATTTTGATTCCATGGAAACTGCATATTTCCTTTTGTCAGATTGTTATATAGTTTTTAAACTTTTGCTTTCAAGAAAAAGTTACCATTGACAAAATATGACTCATATTTATCCTTTAAATTCTTTGTTTTATGTTTTTTCTTGAATTGATTATTGATATTTGGTTTACATTAAGTTCCTGTTCCAATGGAAAAATGTGATGTAACTAAATAAACAAAAAAAATCAAATACCCTCCATCAGCTCGGTTAGCAGCTCCTTAGTTATACATTATTTCTCGTCTTGATCTCTAAAACAAGACAATGCTTCATCATTGCTCTATTTACTGAAATTCTACTTCATTTATAGTAGTAGCTGTATTTTTTCTCTCCTCCCCAGTGGGTTCACATGAGGCTTGGGGGCTGTACTCTCATCCTCTGCTTCTGCTGACCAAGTAGTTTCAGAGAATTTTGAATTGATTGAGGATCAGCAAAGTTGATAAAAGACGTGCTATCTTGTTTGAACTGCCTGCAGAAGAGAAAAGAAATAAACAGAGAAGACAATAAAAAAATGTTTCTAATTGCTTTTGTTTGAGACTGTTAAGAGGAAAGTCTCTGCATAGAAATTATGACTAAACTGAGAAGAAACGAAAAGGAAAACAAAATCGTACAAGCCCAGGATATCATGCTGCATTTTATGTTCAGTTTAGTCTTATCTTGAGGTCTGAATCATCTTATTTTTTTTTATGTTTAATGGTTTGTCAAGACAGCAGTTAGCTGTAACTCTAATATAATATTTATTGGCTGAAAATTTCACACTTGGTTATGTAAAGAATTCAGTTTTGTAACTGTATAAGCACACATGTGCTTAATGTTTTGAACAATAAATATGATTAGTATTCACCCATATTGACCTTCATTTTATGTTTCTTGGGAGGAGGTGTTTTATACACCTTTTTGATTTTCTTGCCCACTGGGACTTGTCTCATTGTATTCAACAAAATGGTTAAATTATGGTGATTAATTTATTCACAAAAGATATAAAGATTTAGAAATTCAATTTTAAATACTAATTCAGTAGATCTTTCTTTAAAAACTATTTTATAGAAGATACTACACTACTGTAACTATTAATACAACTTTAAAATGAAATCATTGCTGTTTTCAGAATATATGATGATATAATATATCTACCTTCCCCTCTGTACTTGTTTTTTGTTGTTGTTATATTACCAGGCTATTCATTCAATTGATTGGCATCATGAGGGCAAACAATTCATGTGCAGCCATTCGGATGGTAGCTTGACTTTATGGAACCTGAAAAGCCCAAATCGTCCTTTCCAAACCACAGTTCCACATGGTAAGACACACACTTTGAAAAGAGACTGTGGAGACTACAGCTGCAGATTGGCAGAGCCCATCCATGAGCTCTTCTATAAAGAACGTATTTTAGGCTTTTTTGTTTTACTGTCTTAGGGTTAGTCTGTTTAGTCCATTGACATTAAATATAATTACTAGTAAGACTAGATTTATGTCTAGTTATTATTGTTTGTTTTCTGTTGTTCATACTATATTTGTTTGCTTTTCTTTGTTTTTCTATTTTCAAGTAATTTAAATATTATTATTAGAAATGCATTTTAATTCATAGGTACTTTATCTTTTCCTATTGTTTATTGCAAGTGTCACAATGTTTCAATATGTTAGTGCTAAAATTATAACACTTCATTTAATATATAGACATCTTGTAACCATATAGATCTACTTATCTACCTTCATTATCATTTATACTATAATTGTATATCATACACATATATTTTGATTTTTAAATGGTCACATGTATTGTAATTAAGAGACAAAATACTCTGCATAATTTAATTTATTTGTAGGCATTACTTCCATTTCATGTAGGTCTGGTAAAATTATAACATTGAGCTTCTTTTATTTGAAATTATCTTTTATCTCCATTCTTGAAGACTATTTTGCTAGATATAGATTTATGGACAATATCAGGCTATGAGCTTAGAGTCTGCTAGGTGGGGATTCATGTAATGTAACGACTGCTTTAATAATAGTCAATCATCTTCTAGTTCCAATGCTTTCTAAATGATCAGTCCTCAGTGTTTTGAACTTTGCGTCTACGATTTAGAATGTGTTTTCTCCTTCTGGTGTTTTCAGGCAATTTTTGTATCTTTTATTTGTAGCAACACAAAAATGTTATGTCTCATCTTGTTTTGATTGTTTAATTTTTCTATTTATAGTTCTAACAAATTTTTAGAACTTTTTTGCCACCTACCTTTAATATATTTTTATGTATGTTTCTTGTTCTGGAATATGATTCAGCTTTGTTAGGACTTCTGGTGTTGTAAAAGACACCTCTGAGTCTTAATTTTTGTATTTGTTTTTGTCGATATTTTTGTTACTGATTTCCAGTAAAGCAATTCCAACTGATTCATCATCTGTTTAACGGCTTCTTGTTCTGCATTTCCGTTCTATTAAACTGCTCAAAATATTTTCATGGTTTTCCACTCAGTATCTTTTTGCTCTTTAGAAATCTTCCAAGAATTATTTTTGTCATTTATTCTAAGCATTTCACCTTTAATCTTTGAGCTTAGGTACACTCACCTCCTAAAACCTTTGATAACATCACCTGCTTTGTCTAACTTGTATTGACAACAATGACTGACCCAAGTGGCTGTTTTACTCTCTGATCTTCAGGCAAACTTTATTTATTAAAATAGAAATGAAATATCATGACAGAAGTTAATAGCAGTAAAAGCAAAACCATACAACAAAGAAATAAAACACTGATATAAGGAAAGAAAACAGACTTTTTAAAAACTATCTTTACCTAAGCTAATCCATTTAGAAATATAAAAACATGAAATTAGAAATGATATGGTAAATGCAGAAATTAAAAACTTAAAAACTCTCAAACTTATATTCTGTACCATTCTACATATAAAATTAAGAGCATGGGTGAAATAGATAATGTCAAGGGAAATACAAAATAATGGAAACTTTGTACAGTATTTTTTATATAAATTCAAATCCCCATCTATGGCCCATCTGTTTCAGCCTGAAAAGCACCTTTTATTACTATATTTTTGTTAAGAGAGTTCTGGTGATGCAAATTCAGTTTTGTTTTAGGAGAAATGTTTTTATTTTAATTTCTTGTTGAAAGATGATTTTGTCCAACATGAAATTCTTAGTTGACAGTTCTTTTTTTTTCTTTTTTAATACTTGGAATATCTTGCTCTCTGCTCTGGGGCTTTAATGTTTCTGAAGTTGACATTTAATCTTCCTTGGGGCTCCTTTTCATGCAACCATTTTCATCTTGGCTTTTCTTTCTGCCTTTAAGATTCTTTCTGTCTTTCAGCATTTTTGCTTGGATTGTTTCGTCCTGGGGTTGTCTCTTTATCAATTTACCATTTCTTCTCTAGCCTTTCAGTATTACACTTGTGTGTATGGTAATGACTAATGTTATTTCACAGTTTTTGACATTATTCACTTTCTTTCCTCCTGTTTGGTTTGACACACTTTGGTTTGTCTCCAGCACTAATTTCTTATAATTTTCAATTTTTTTTGTTAATTTCAGCCATGTTCTGAAATGTTGATTTATTTGAATCTATTACTCCCAAATTCAGAAGCTGTCCATGTTTATACTGAGAATCAGTCACACATTTTGTCATTAATTAACTATTTTATACCTGGAGAATTTATTCTTTTTCTGTCATTTATCCGTTGATGGAGTTCAACTGATCTATCCATACCCCTGTTTAATTACAGCTTCTACAGCATGTTGTATCTGTTACTCATTCACTTCTGGTGCATCATACTGTAATTTTTATGTTTGTATTGCTCAATGTAATAAATTCCAAACATATTAGAATTCAATTACTTCTATGCACCCTGACATATATCATATAATACTAGGACTATAGAGAATAGCAATGAACAAAATTGATGATTTTTATACAATATTTTGTACAACATGACTCTTAAGCATGCTTCAGCTACTGACAGGTGTTGATATAATCAAAGTAAGAAACTGCTTTCTGAAAGTAAACTGTTAGAGCTGAAGACTGAACATTAATGGGACCTTACAACCTAATTTTAATGCTTGGGACCCAAATCGCAAAATGAGAGAACTGAAAGTTCTCTTATCTCTATAATGAGTACTCTCCACACAGTAAATTAATCATTGTAATAACATTTTTAAATGAAGCAGAATGATTTTGTAAGTCTATCATATGCTTTATGTCACAGAACTTTCTGCAATATGAAAGTTTACTTCTAGTATAGATAAATTATTGAGAATTATATAGATTTCATTAAAAAGATTTTATCTTTTTCTCTTCCTTTCTTTTTGTTCTTTTTTTTTCTTGTGGAGGGGAGGGGAAGAGAATCTTATGTACCCTTTGATGGATTTGAACACTCAACTCTCCTGCCTCAGCTTCCTGACTGTTGAGAACAGAGTCATGGATAATATATTTTAATAATAATGTATTTCATTATATATGTATGTATCATCAGTCCTAAACTTTATTTTATGAGCATATGTAATAATTTATAAGGAAATACATTCATATTAGAGATTACAAAGAACCAAAAGGTGAATACTTTATAAATAACTTCATTGATCATATAGCAGTCTTTTGTTATTATCCTAAAGCATATAGATTTAATAAAATATTATAATACATAAACTTATGCCAAATATGGGCACTTTAAAAATAAACCTTATCTTTAGCTTAAACTGTTGTTACTATGGGAGGAAGTGTAGGGGGAGGGGGAAGGAAATGGAAGGAGGTGGAAATTTTTAATAAAAAAATGACCAGTTTAACAATATAATATAACTAAAGTAATAAAATTATTTCAAACTTTATCATCATTGATGGAAATATAAAATTGTGCTTGTCCTATTCTCTTCTGTAAGCAGTATCTACAATTAAAACTGTGCTTGAGGCTTTGGCTTCAGTTATGTTTGTATCACCTGCCAATGTAACCTGTTCAGGAGTTGTTGTTGTAGTTCAGGAAGTTACTAGACTCACCCCAGAGGCTTGTAGATTTCATTTTTCCATTATGTTATTGTTCCATGTTTATATTTCTTAATGGAAATTTTAAAAAATTCTCGTGGATCAGTATAATTTTGATGGAGGAGGGTTATCTGTCTATTGTGTTATTTTCATTGGTCAATAAAGAGACTGCCTTGGCCCTTTGATAGGACAGAAAATTAGGTAGGCGGAGTAAACAGAATAGAATGCTGGGAAGAAGGGAAGTGAGGCAGACGCCATGGAGCCAGCCACCAGGTCAGACATGCTGAATCTTTTCCGGTAAGCCACTACCTCGTGGTGCTACCACAAGATTATTAGAAATGGGTTAATATCAAGATATGAGAGTTAGTCAGTAACTAACTCTCTAGAGATAATGGGCCAGGCAGTGTTTAAATGAATATAACTTGTGTGTTATTATTTCTGGGGCTAAGCTAGCTGTGCGGGAGCCGGGCAGGATGAAAAGCAGGCCTGCCCGCAGCTCCTTTCTACATAATTTAAGTCAGATTTAATTATTTCTTTCTCTCATTAGGAAAAAGTCAAAGAGAAGGAAGAAAGTCTGAGCCTTGTAAGCCAATTCTTAAAGTAGAGTATAAAACTTGCAGGAACAGGTACGTGGTTGTACTTGGTGAATATGTAAATATATGTTAGGGGTGGGATAATGGAAGTAACAATCTTTGATAATATGTTATACTGCCTTAGAATTATAAATTATTAATTCTCTAAATCAGTAACTTATTTTTCTTGAGTATTATGAATATTGAAAATAACAAATAGCATACTTAATTATATTTATATTGACATCATTTATATATTAATTCTAATAATTGAGGGCTCTTGAATTATTTATAATATAGCAATATTTATTAAAATTAACCTATGCATCTATTGATATTCCTTACGAAATTTAAATATGTAACCAGATCTCTCTGAGCTTAGAATCTGACATATTGAAATTGGAAAGATAACCTTTAGTTGGAATTATAAAGTTATATATATTTTCATAATGGAAAAAGCCTGAATTTTATGATGTATATGATAAAAAACATTTAATACGATTCTACTACATTTATTGACACCATATCCAGTATTTCTGCATTTCCTCTTAGTTTGTAATAATCACTAATGGCATTTTCTACCCAATATGAACATAATAAACCTTGCCTGAACATTATTGTGATGAAGATGATGATGATGATGATGATGATGATGATGATGATGATGATGATGATGATGATGATGCATGTACAAGACGTGGGTTCTGGAGATATAACTCAGGAGCCAGGCTTGTGCAGCAAGCACTTTGATGTGCTAAGCCATTTTGTCAGCCCCTAAACAGAACTGTAAACTGAAAGTTCCTACTTTGTCTTAGTTACTTGCTCACATAGTGTGCTGTTAGCATCATATGTTTGTTAAAACTTCCTCTTCTGAAGTTTTAATAGTATAAAATTGTGATGATATATTTTCAATATCCCTTTAGCAGTCCAGTTTAGTATAATATAACTAAAAAATAAAATATTCCAAATTTTAAACATTGTGGATGGAAACAAAGTCTTATATAACTATTGTCTTCTTAGAATATTATTTATAATTACAAGTTTTCTTGTGCCTTTAGATTCAGTAGTGTATATCACAAGTTATGCAATGTAAACCTAAGGATCCTTGAGGGTCAGGAAATTATAATAATTTTTCCAAACAGCTAATAGCTTTATTTGGCTTTCCTTTTCACTTGTGTAATTTTTTTCAAAAGAATTTTTTCCTTACTTCAGTATTGACTGTCCTAAGGACTATAATATCTATTGAATTATCAATTAGTGTTCAATATTTTTATAGATTACAAATCTTGAAAATAAAACAGCAAAATGAGAACAAATAGTTTCATGTGAAGTCTGAGATGCTTTTTTGCATAATAAATCTCAGGACCCATGGACTTTAGGGCTTCTTCTTGGTTACAAGGGTGTTGTTTTGAAAGTGCACTCCCATGACATGCTCAGCAATGTTCAGGTTGATTCCATTGGCTTTAATTATATACTACACACTGTGTAATTTGATTTGTGAGCTAAAACATAACTTATTATCAGCTTCTGAATTTGGTAGGCTCTAGTAGAAAAGACCAAGACAAAACACTAGTGATTTTTAAATAGCATGAGAAGTAGTTTGATGGATGTTTGTTTTGGGGGAATAGAAAAGGGACAAGGGTATAATCGAGTTGTAAATATTATCACATTTCTAATTTTTTATTAGCTTTTTTGGGCAATTAAAAATTTTAAAGAAAAAAATAAGGAAAAGGAACACCTAGCCTAACCTTGAAGGCCATGGAGAGAAGAGCTATCAAGAGAGAGGTGAGGAAAATTCCTTAGAGAGAGAATTTGAGATAGGTGTTCTGAGATAGGGCTCAAATGAAGCAGTGTGATGCCACAGTTAACATCACTTACTTTATAGTAACGTGGCTCTGAGATTTTTAATTACATCATAACCTTTAGTTTCATCACTAGTAATACCTGATTTACTATGATATTCCATGAAAACTAGATGAAATAATACAAAAGGCATAGATTTTCATGACTAATAGGGCACACTCAGGTTCCCAATAAATCAAATCACCATTATTATTATTATATTAAAACCATGGTATTCTACTTAACAGTATTTCATTACTTTTAAAGATTTGTTTTAGCACTAGTATTCTAACTGTAATAATTTTATTTATAATGTGAAATACATATTTTATTGGTTATACTTACTTTCATTCCACTTGAATACATTGCATGCAGACAATTTTGTTTTTATTTTTGTGATTATTGCTTTAAGTAAAAGTAACCTCTGGAAATTTAAACCAAGGGAAAAATTTGGAGGTGTACTAGTCTGAAAAAGAATGAAAGATGGGACCCAGAAACAGTACAGTACTCTACTGAAGGTTATATCAAAGTTAGACTGTACCTTAATTAAGATAGTGTTCCTTTTTATTAATTGTTGTTTCATGCATATATAGAGGAACACACACAATCACACATACACACATGTGTGATCTCATATACTCTTGTTACCAGATAATATTAGATTTTTAAAGCAAGACGTGTTTTGTTCTGTTGGGTTTTGTTTTGTCTTGTTTTGTTTTAAGTAGAGAATTTGTCAGTCCCAGTTCAGCATTTTTTAGAAAAGCAGACTTTCAAAGGACTCTGAGACAAAGACTCTGTAGTTCCTTTTAAAATGTATTTGGAGGGGAATATTCTCAATTTGGTATTTACTTGTTGAAAATACTTCTTTATTAACCTAAAATATGTGTATTGAGTTTAGAGTAGAAGATGAAAAGCTATGAAGCTATTTATAGACAGCCACAATATTTATAATCATCAAAAGAAACCTCATTGAGTTCATCACTTTGTGTCATTATAAGAAATCACGAGAATAAATATCTTAAAGTAAGAAGAGCCTTTTTGGCTTTAGGTTGCTTTAGTCTGTCATTGGGTGACTCCATTTATTTTATTTGAGTATTATGTCAAGACAAATTAAAATCTTCACAGCAGAAGGAAAGTAGCTTACATTATGTCAGCCAAGAAGCAGAGAGAGAAAAGAGGAGGCCTATGCTGGTTCACTTTCTCATTCTTTTATTCCCCCCTGGACCCCACACTATTGGATAGCACTGCCGACACTCATCATAGGTCTTCCCTCACCGCCTGTACTTGCTATTCCACATGGCAGTTGTCTCTGTACATGCACTAACAGACACATACAGGGGTTCCTTCTTTCCTTCCTTCCTTCCTTCCTTCCTTCCTTCCTTCCTTCCTTCCTTC